CCTCCCTCCTCCACCCTCCCTCCTCCTCTCCCCGGTTCTCTCCTTTCCCATTAAGCCCTTCCTGATGTCTCCCTGGAGGTGGTGCCAAAGCCGGCAGCTGGGAGGAGAGCCGGCTAGGGGCAGCCAGTGTCTTGTATCCTCAGGGCAGGGCGGGACCTGAAGGGCCTGACAGCAGTGAGGCGTTGGAGACGGGCTGGGGGGTTCCAGCTCCGGCACCCCTGGCCTCCGTGTCAGTGCGCACAGCCACCTCCTTCCCATCACAAGGTTACACAGAGCAGCCATGCTGTCCACACTGCTGGCCAGGGGACCCGATGTCGTCCCTTCAGGGGGGAGTCAGACCACGCAGTGGAGGCCCAGGGTCGAGGCACAGAAAGGGCGGCAGCCCTCCCCTGGCCCGTGCCCTCCCTGAAGGCTGCGAGGCGGCCAGGGACCCCGCCCTGCCTCTCTCCACTGGGTAGAGCTCCAAGGACACTGCCAACAGATTCTGGAGTTTATCACTGCTCACAGTCAGGAAAATGTTTCCAGAATCCTGGTCACAGGGTCTGGGAGCCGGGAGGATGCAGGACAGTGGGGACGGTCTTGCTCGTCAGAACCACCCAGGGAGCTTTTAAGCTTAAATGGAAAGCATTATGGTTTTTGGAACCATGTCAATGTTTCACAAATTAAAAAGAGAGAGAAAATAGAATCAACGAGAATAGAATGCAAACACAAACAAATGATCTAACATGTACTTCAAATAAACAACCACCGCAGGGAAGCAGGTTGAACACTGCGTCGAGAGCCGACCTCAGCTGGGCAGATCCTCGCTCAGTGGTCCTCACACCATTTGGCCTCAGGACCCCTCACACGCTGAGAAACCACCGAGGACCCAGAGCATCTGCTTGTGGGGGTTACGTCTGTCGATACTGACCATTTTTGAAATCAGAACAGAAACGTTCAGAATACTTACCAGCTCACTTAAAACAACAAAAATAAACCTATTACAAGTTAACATAAATTGCATAATGTTTTATGAAAACAACTATATTTTTCAAAAAGGAACCCTCCGTGAGAAAAGCAGCCTGGTTCTACATTTGTGCCAATCTCTCTCTATCCAGCTCACTGGGCACAACGGGCGTCACGGTGCTGCTGCGCACAGCCCGAGGGAGGTGTGTGCCGGTACCCGTCGTGCAGCATGCCCGGCCTCACACAAGCAGCCCGAGGGATGCGCTGTGCCAGTCCATGTCTGTGCAGCGGGCCCGGCCTTGCACGGATGTGGTTGGAGAAGGGACGCCTCTCCAGCAGGCCTGTCCAGTGCGCATGCACAGGCCGCAGAGCCTCTGGGAAGCTCCCTGCGCAGTCCTGAGAGGAGGCGAGTAGATGGGGCGGGTGCTGTCTTCCCACTCCTGTGTCTTCTCCTCGGAGAAGGCGCTGATCCCGGGTTTGGGGAGAGGAAGTAGGAGGGCTGGGACATCTTGCGCTGGGCAGGAGGGAAGCATGCGGGCAGCTCTCCGGAGGTTCGCTCAGGCACAATCCGGTTCTTGCCCGCTGTCCAGAGGTCAGTGGTGGCCTTTGGGCTCGCCCCATTGTACAGGAGGCCCAGGGCACAGAGACAGCCCAGTGCATCAGGAGGCTCCTCTCCCAGCCCACCCACACCACACAGAGAGGTTCTGCGACAAGGGGCTCCACCTGGGAGGTGCGGCCAGTGGGGACGGAAGGCCTGGAGCCCTCGGGCAGGGCCACGGCTGGTTTGCCTGGGGCAGTCCAGGGAGGAGGGTGGCTAAGGAGGCACTTTCTTTGGTGGTGGAATGCCCCCCAAAAGCATGCCTGAGGGGGTTCTTGGGACACAATGGGACATGGGAAGGGGCCTCGTTGTTTGCCCAGTTTAGAGAGGGGCGCAGAGGGAGGCCCGGGGACAGGCAACCTTTGGCTCCTTGGCCTGGGCTGGGCCTCAGGTAGAGCCCAGCTAGTAGGGAGTTAGCTTACGCTGTGAATCCTGGACTCACAGCAAACCACTCTGACCCTCAGGTTCCTCTTCTGCAAACCAGGATGCTGCATCCTGCTTCCCGCTGAGGATCAAGTGAGGTAGCATTTGGGAAGCACTTTTCAAGGTGACTCCTACAAACGGAGGGGTTCCTCTGTGTTGCAGGCAGGCACCCCCCCCCCCACACACACACACAGTAAATTCACTCGCTCATTAACACACGTCAAGCACCTCCTGGATCTCAGAGCTGTCTATTGTCAGCAAGAGACAGAGCCCTGCTCCCTGAGGCTGCGGGGGCTGGGCTGGAGTAGGACAGGATGTGATTGTCCATGGGATTCTGTTATTCGATGATGCTTGGTTAACTGTTGACCAAACACCAGGGTCCCTTCCTGTAAGTCACTCCGTGGTTAGTCACCCCTGAGGTCTTTTCAGGATGATGAGGCTCAGGGCTGTGGCTGCAGGCCAGGCCTCTGCATGCCCTGGCTCACTGTCTGCACCCCTAAGCTCCCTGTCTGCACCTCACAGGCTGACTGTCTGCATCCCCAAGCTCCCTGTCTGCAGCCGCAGGCTCCCTGTCTGCACCCCCCAGGCTCCCAGTCTGCAGCCCCCAGGTTCCCAGTCTGCACCCCCAGGCTCCCTGTCTGCAGCCCCAGGCTCCCTGTCTGCAGCCCCCAGGCTCCCTGTCTGCAGCCCTCCCACACTGAACTAATGGCTGCAGTGGGCATCCCATCATGCCCTGACCCCTGACCTCACCTCAGTGCCTGCTGTAGCTCAAAGGAGTATAGCGCACAGGATGAGTCATTGGTGGGCCCCTCCTCCCAGGGTGTTTTCGAGCTTATAAGGTGTCTTTAACCCACAGGCCTCTCTAAGGGTGGACTTTGGGCAGCTGTGAAGCCCCTTCCTGACCAGGTGGTTGCTGCTCACACTGGGCCTCAGCGGCAGTGTGGAGCTTCCCGGAGTCTGAGTTTGCAAGTTGCTGAGGACAGCTGGCATGCAGGGAGCCTGGGTAAGTCTGTGGTCCATCATACTCTGTTCCCCGGGGGCCCCAAAACCCTGGATGCCCTTAGGGGTGCTGGGCTTCCAGCTGCATTGGGGAGGCCATCCTTACCTTTCCACATGGATTCCAGTGGAGGGACCTCTCAGCCTGGCGTAACAAGGGCTCTTTCAGGCCCTCCCTGGGGGGCATAGGCCGCCCAGGGATGACTGGCTGGGAACCCCAGGGACAGGCCGGCTCCATGCAGCACACCGACGGGCGCAGGTGTCTGGATCCCTGTGGACCTGCAGGCACGGGCACAGGCGTGTCTGCCCCTTCATCCACTCACCAGACGTTTACTGAGGGCCTCTTCCTGCCAGACACCACAGACTGCACACAGGTTTCCCAACAGCTGCCTCAGTCCTTGAGGGCCAAGCGTGCCCAGCAATGGGCCAAACGGTCCACAGGACACTGCCCACCACAGTCCACGGGGCACCTTCCCCCACCGTCCACAGGGCACCCGCCCACAGTCCACGGGGCACTGCCCACCACAGTCCACAGGGCACCCGCCCACAGTCCACGGGGCACCTTCCCCCACAACAGTCCACAGGGCACCCCCCCCCACCATCCACGGGACACCCCCCCCCACAGTCCACGGGGCACCCGCCCACAGTCCATGGGGCACCCGCCCACAGTCCACGGGGCACTGCCCACCACAGTCCACGGGGCACACCCCCACAGTCCACGGGGCACCCGCCCACAGTCCATGGGGCACACCCCCACAGTCCATGGGGCACCCGCCCACAGTCCACGGGGCACTGTCCACCACAGTCCACGGGGCACCTTCCCCCACAACAGTCCACAGGGCACCCCCCCACGGTCCACGGGGCACCCCCCCACAGTCCACGGGGCACCTTCCCCCACAGTCCATGGGGCATCCCCACCCCCCCACAACAGTCCACAGGACACCCCCTCAAGTCCATGGGGCACCCCCCGCCCCGTGCAGGGACACACCCAGCTGCCCACCCAGGGCCTTTGCAGCTCCCTCTGCTTCCCACAAAGAACTCTCCCCATGCCGGCTTCTTCCAGCTGTGCCGGACTCAGAGAGAGCACCTCCTGACCACTCAGCTGGGAGGAGCTCCTGGTCACGCCCTGTCACGCCTGTCACACCGTGGCTCTGTTTTCACTCAGGGCTCTGGCAGAGAAAGATGTCTGACTAGTGTAGGCAGACAGGGGTTTACCACAGGGTGTATGGTGGCTCACAGAGTTGTTAGGAGGGTAGATAGACTTTGGGCTGAGCTTCCAAGAAGGACTTCTAAAGCTACATGCTGGACTTGGGATGGGCTGCCGAGCTGCTGCTGGCCCCACCTGCCCAGGAACCTGCAGCCACAGTAGTGCCTGCCTCCCCCCACCCCCACTGAACTCCATTCTGGATCCTGGTTTCTCTGAGCACTTCTGATTGGTGGAGCCCGAATCAGGGTTCTGGAGTTAGCTTCATGGCCTCTGCCTTCCAGGAAAGCGCTGGAAAGGGGGAGGTACTGAGACAGCGGGCCCACCCCCGTAGCACCCTCCCCTGCTGTTCTCGCTCATGGAGCTAATGCTGAGTGGGTGCCTTGCTGGGCGGCTCACCCTCTGAAGTGTGACCCCTGCAACCACGCCTGGCTCGCAGGACAGCCAGCGACCCCAGGGCTCTCGCCAAGCATTGCAGGATGACTCCAGGCCCACTGTACCCGGGAGGCTAGGCCTCGGTGCTGAGCCGCAGATCTGGGAGGAGATCTGCTTCTATCTGGCTATAGGTGCAGACTTTTCCTCGTCAGTGAGACTGTCCACCTCCCATAAACACAGGCCTGTCTGTGTTTGGCAGCATGTGCCATGGTGTCTTCATCCAAATTGGGAGGCCAGGACCTCA